AAGTGACTTGCTCACTTTCACATGGCTAATGAGTGTCAGAGGCCAGATCTGAACTCAGGTTTTCCCGATTCCAAGTCCAGTGCTCCATTCACGGTGACACCCAAGTTTAAGGAATAAGGGATGTCTTTTGAAGAGAAGAGATGTGTGGGAGGATCATAATGACTATCTTCCTACATGTGAGGGTAGTCATAGGGAACAGGGATCATAGAAGAAGAGCTGGAAGGGACTTCAGAGTCCAACTTCATTTTGCAGATCAGGAAACCGGGGTCACACAGGCAGTGTCAGAGGTAGGACTTGAACCCTGGTCCTTCGACTCCAGAGACAACATTCTTTCCACTGTGCCATACTTGACACCAGAAGGAAAAATTAGGAGCAATGGTGGGGGTGGGCAGCTAACAGGGACAATTTTCAGTTCTGTGTAAGGGAAAACCTCCTAACCATTGGAGCTGTTTGTAAGTGGCACGGGCTGCCTTGAGAGGTTTTCAAGCAAAGATCAGATGACCAGGTGTCAGGGAAGCTATAGTGGAGAGGCTGGTTCAGGTACAGGGGAGACCAGATGGCTGCCCCTCCTGTGATCCAACTCAGAGACTCAGCGATGTTGAGTATTTGAATCCTTCCGTGGCAACATAAACACTGGAACTCCAAAAAAGCCTCACACCTGTCAAGGTGGGTTAGCCCACAGAGACAGAAGTGAAACACAGAAAACAAATTCTCTGGAAACCCTGAAATACCCCTGTGTCATCAGAAGGTCACTGACATGCTTAAAAAAAGCAACTTGCTGGTTGGGTCACCAAGGTCTCCAGAGACTCTGATGTATTTTTAGAAGTCACTGAGTGCTCACTGAAGAGGGCTGACACGCAGAGATCTGGAATTTGAAGTTGCTTCACTCAGAACCCACACATATAAACTGGTTTTTCTGTTGTTGCTGCTGGTGGTTCCCTCCACCCCCCACCAGCTCTGGTCATTTCCGGATAGTGAAATTGAAGACAGCTTGGTCATGACCTTCAACTCGGCATCACATTTGAGAATCTGGCAGACCAGTTTTAATGATATGCCAGAGAAAATTCATTTATGATATGGTCACTTGTATAATGGATCACAGCAGTGGGCTCAAATGCAGATATTATGTTGGTTTTAAACGCTGCACACGTTTGAAAATTTTATCTATTCCTAGTGGCTGGAACATGTTTTGCATTCCTACATGATGCCCAAAGCCTGATAACCTTAGGTATCATGCATGATACAAGAAACAGCTTACACTGAGGTAGGGTAAATGGGAAGAAAAGAGGAAGGAGTTTGAATCTGGAGATAGAAGACCTGTTTGCAGTGTTGCCTCTGCCCACTTACTATCTGGGTACCTTTATTTAAATGCTGCAAGGATCTGTGCCTTTATTGATGTTAGACTGAAATCCTACTATTGCCTAGCAGACAGTCTTTGTGGCAAAGAGACAGTATAATGTAAACTCCTTGAAGTCTTCCTAAGACCAAGAAACTTTGCAAGTTCAAAGAGCTGTATGAACGGAAGTTATTTTAATGTATGTAAAGGGCCCTCTGTAAGCGATAAAATGCTAGGCAAATGAGGCAGTCAATTTAGAGCTTTCTTTTCTGTTTTCAAAAGCTAATTATTAAAGAAAAGGAATCACACTATTCAGGAAAGGTGCTTTTAGGATGGTCACTGTGTCCACTGGTGGTATTCCAGAACCAGTAGAGTCTCTGGTGAAAAGGTAACTCCTCACTGTCTTTTTGCTCCAGAAACCTCATCTTCTCCCTATTATCTCTTGGATAAAATAGAGACTCCTCAGCCTGGCATTCAAACCCTCCACAATATAGCCTAAATCTACAGTTCCAGATTGATCACACATTCCTACTCTCCACACAGTCTATGTTCCTTCCAAACTGGTCTATTTACCTTCCATTTCCTACATTCCCTCTTGTGGTCAGTCTGTCCCAAACACATGGAACACACACCCTCCTTACATTAGAGCAGCTACCTGTTGTGAGGATCAAATGAGACAGAGTTTCCAAAGGGCTTAGCACAGTGCCTGGCACAGAGTAGATGCTTAACAAATACTCCTGCTCCCCCTGCCCCTCCTTGCTTTGTGCTGAAAGCACAGCTTAGGCATGAGCCTATAGGAGACCTTTCCTGAATCCCCATTCATTAGTTCTTTCTCCCCATCTCTCCTTCCTTCCAATCTTTGAATTACTTTTCTCTGTATCTATTTTCTATATACCTATCCCGTACACATTGTGTCCTCCCCAATAGAAGGCAAACTCCCTGAGGGCAGGTATTGAGGGATTGTTTTTTTTTTTGTCTTTGTAATTCCAGTACCTAAGGCAAGGCTTTGCCCACAGTAGCAACTTCATAAATGATTGTTGAATTGAACTGAATAGGATTCTGTGACCAGAACCCTAACATCACCCCTGGGCGTTCTGAATTCTGAATGGCCCTCTCGCATTTGGTTACTGTAATCCTTAGATGACTAACGGTTTGTGGCTGGCCCTTGCTTGATACCTTCCTGGATTGGTGGGACCTGACAGAGATGTACTTCACTGTCACTCCTTTTGAGAACCAGAGTCCCTTCCTTAGAAGATGCGCCATCAGAGTAGTCACGGTTCAAGTGACTTCACCAGGGTCTCACAGCTAAGAACTTAACTAGATCAAAAATGCTTTCACTCACCTACAAATGAAAACATAAGCTCCCAAAAGGGTAGGCTTGCACTTAGGCATCACTAGTGAGATGGGCCTCAGAGTCAGGAAGACTTGGATTTAAGAACTGCCTCTGATACATACTGGCTTCATGGGAAACTTCCTTTCTTTGATTTTCTGAGCCTTAGTTTCTCATCTGTAAAATGTGGGGATTGGACTAAGGGGGTTATTGTTGTCCTTTTCAGCTCTGAATCTATGATCTTGTTTTCACAAAAACATATTCATCCAAACAAAGGGATGCATGATTTTCTTTTTTAGGGGGTGGGGGGGCTGTTCAAGTAGTTGGTTTTCTCCCCAGAAGGTTTTAAAACCACTTCCCTGAGTTCTTGGGTCCCTTCCAAACACATTCTGATCTCCAGAAATCAAAAGAAAAAAAAGGTTGACTTGCTTCACATGACATTATTGGAATCTGAGACATATCCAGAATCTATGAATCATGGTTTGTGGAATCAGTTCTTTCCACTAGGAGATGGGCAACCAAAGCCATACTCCATGGAGCTTGGCAACTGCCCCAATCAGTACTTGCCTAATTCCTGAACTTTCTGAGGACCCAGAAGGAACATTCTTGTAATTGGCCAGTCCCCTAAGAGCAGTGCAGACAGCATGGAACAGTGATGAATTTCTCTCTCTTTAATTTTAGTCAGGGGCCCATCACAGAGTCCACATCCTGCCCCAATGTACAGCTGCCCTCACAGGAACCTTGGGTTCTGCACCTGAACCATCCCAGCTTCTGATAGATGGCCCTTCTTTCACCTTATTTCATATAACTAGGCTTTTACCTCCATTCCTATGCACCAGCTCCAAACCATGCCCTGAATGTGGCAATCATCCCCTACTGTCCAGATTCATTTTATGTACCGTCTTCTACTGGAACATCAGTTCTTGGAAGGCAGAGACTGTCTTGCTTGCTTGTATTTGTATCCTCAGTGCATACAGTAGCACCATCACATAGTAAGCACTTAATAAATTCTTTCTCTGCCAATTTTTTTCTTTGTTCTTTCTCTCTCTTCTCTCTCTTCATCTCTCTCCCTTCTTTCTCTCTTCTTTCTTTCTCTCTCCCCTTCTCTCTTTCCATCTCTCTCTCTCTCTCTCTCTCTCTCTCTCTCTCTCTCTCTCTCTCTCTCTCTCTCTCAATATCTGTGTCTCTCTTTCCCCTTCTCCCCATTTTCCCTACTATCATGAAAGTTTTAAGAAGTGTTCTTATACAATTTTAAGCATAAAAAACCTTATCTTCCAAGGATTTGGGTTAATTCATCCTATTTGCTCCACTCACATCAGAGAAACATAAATAATTGATGCTCAATGCGTTAAGAAACATCTTTAACAAGTGCATAACTCCTTTGAAATTTAAAGAACTTAGTTGAAGTGGGTATTTATAGAAAAATTATGTTTTCAAAAATTATATAAATATGTCCTGTTGAATTAGCAGAACCTGTGGGGTTTGCTCCTGGCAAGCACTGTATCTCTATTTCCCTGCATTGAGAATGATGTTTCATAATAGAGAGCTGTAGTTCTGAGGCTGGAGATGGTCTGCTTTCTATCAAAGCAAATGGCAAAAATTTAGGCAAGGAGTTTCCAGCAGGGTGTTGGCAAATAGCAACAGGACTTCCCAAAGTACAAGGGCTGATCTGTCATTACTTTCAGGCATTGTTTATGTCAGATAACAGCATGGAGCTATATCTTACTGGATGGCATAACTGTTTGAGGCTTTTATTTATTTATAGTGACAGTGACATGGTTTACACTTGTACATTATCCCCAAATTCTGATAGCCTCATTTGTCATCTACTACAAGAAATTCAGCTTACAAGGAGACATGGTAAATAGGAGTAGAATAGGAAAGAATCCTGAATTTGGAGACAGAAGATCTGCATTCCAATCCTTCCTCCGCTATTTACTGGTTGGGTACCCTTCAGCAAGTCACTTCACTTTTTTCAAGCCTCAGTTTCCTTATCTGTAAAATGAGGTGGTTGGATTAAATGATCTCTGATGTCTCTTGCAGCTCTCAATTTGTGATCCTCTGGTCCTTTTGAAGGAGGACAATGAGAAAGCCTCAGACCACCAACACTGTATGAACAACTCTTGTGTCTAAGTGTTCAGTTTAATTTGGGGGCTATTTTACTTTTGTCTTGACTTCTGTGCCTTTCTCCCAAGACAACCTGGAAAAATCTCTTAATTGCACAGTCCAGTATACTGATATTTTGCCTGCCTTTCCAGACTTCTTATATATTATTCTGCTTTATGCATTCTAAATTCCAGCTACAATGACCTTTTTGCTGTTCCTCATTCACAGCCTCTCCATCTTCTGTCTCTACGTCTTTGCACAGACTGTCCCCATGCTCCATTCTTCCTGTTCACCTTTGATTGAAGGGAAAAGCAACAAGTGTTGGAGGAGAGGTGGAAAAACTGGGACACTAATTCACTGTTGGTGGAAGTGTGAAATGATCCAACCACTTTGGAGAGCAATCTGGAATTATGCCCAAAGAGTTATTAAACTGCCTATACCTTGACCCAGCAAAGCCACTACTTGGTCTATTTCCAAAGATGATTAGGAAAAAAGGAAAAAGAGCTATATTTTCTAAAATATTTATAGCAACTTTCTTTGCAGTGGCAAATAACTGGAAATTTTGGGGATGCTGAAATTGTGGTATATGACGGTGATGGAATACTCTGTGCTATAAGAAATGGTGAACTTGATGATTTTAGAAAAACATGGATAGGCTTGCGGGAAATAATGAAGAATGAAATGAGCAGAAGCAAGAGAAATATGTACTTTGTATACTGTAACAGAAATACCATTTTAAGAACTTCTTTGAGCAACTAAATCATTTGACTACTATGAATACCCAAATTAACTACAAAGAACCTATGAAGGAAGTTGCTTTCTGCTTTCAGAGAAAGAAATAATAAAAAGAAGTATGTTTAGACTGATTTTACACATATTTTTACATACTTTACATATTTGTGCCTAAAGGTAGCCATCTCTAGGGTGGGGAGGGAAGGAAAAAAAGAAAAAAACCCAAAGTTACAAGATAACTTTATTATAGATTTAAAAGGGATAACAAGTTGTACATAATAGCTTGGCAGTTTCATGTGCAACCTTTTTTTTTGTATTCTACTATGTTATGGAAATGCTTGTTTCATTTCTTAAGTTCAGAATAAAAAATGAAATTTAAAAAATTAAAAAAGTTGAACTATATAAAAAAAGAACTCCTAACTTCTTTCCAAGCTCAGATCGAATGCCATCTTCTGTGTGTAGTCTTTCTTGATTTCCCAGCTGCTACTACCTTCTCTCCATCCCTATTACTTTGTATATATTTAATATATTTCCTTTATACATTTTTATAAGCATGTATCATCTATCCCCACAGAATGTAAGCTCCCTGAGGGCAGGGACTGTCTCTTTTTTTTGTCTTGTACTGTGCGTGGCACACAGAAGGCACTTAATAAACGCTTGTTGGTTGATTGATTGTTACTAATTCTACACTTTAAATTCTTGGCTCCTAATACATCAAAGAACATTTTATTAACGTTGCAACCAGGGGGCCCCGAGACCTGTACATGTTACTAGAATCATAGCTCTAGAGCTAGATAGATTTCAGAAGCCACCTCATCCAATCCCTTCATTTCAGTTGTGGAAACTGAAGCCCAGGTGGGTTAAGTGACTTGCCTAAGGCCACAAGAGACAGTAAGCTTTATAGGGAATATTTCTATGTAGCTCCCTGTCCCTAGTGGCAGTTAGGTGGTACAATGGATAGAGTGCTGGGCATGGAGTCAGGAAGACCTGCGTTCAAATCCAGCCTCTGACACTTATTATGGCTGTGACTCTATACACGTCTTTTAACTTCTATATGCCTCAGTTTCCTCAACTGTAAACTGCGGATAATAATAGGACCTTCCTCACAGGGTTGTTGTGAGGAACAAGTGAGATAATATTTGTAAAGTACCTAGCACAGTGCCCAGCACATAGTAGGTGCTCAGTAAATGCTTGTTTCCTTTCTTTCAGAGCCAGCACTCTTTTCGCACTATACTAAGCCTAATCAGTACCTACTCGGGCCACACAAGGGCTCATCCCCATCTGCAACGTATACCATGGAACAGCAGAGGGCATTCCAGTGTAACTTCTTAATTCGCTCTCACTTTCAGAGCTAGCTGCTTCTTTCTCCTTAGTTTTCCCCCTCTGTGAGAGAGAATAAGTCATTGAGAAATGTGTAGATGACCAAATCATTGTCTTGACTCAGGTCATTACTAGGAAAACTCCTTCCTTTTGAAATCATGGGCCACCCAGCCATTCACCTGGAAGCCAAGGGTTTCCCTGGCAATCTTGACCTCTACACTGTCCACATCTTGCTTTGAAAATAGTTATCAAATCATTACTACCACTGCTGCTGGAATAGGCATGGCAGTTGACTGACTGATGTCTCTGCTCACATTCCCATCCCTCTCCCTTCCCTGGCCACCACTTTAGAGGTATTCTAATAAAGGCAACTAGGTGGCACCATAATGCAGAGTTTGGGGCCTGGAGTCAGGAGGACCTCCAAATCCACCCTCAGACACTGGCTAGTGTGTGACTCTGGGCAAGTCATGTAATCCTGTTTGCCTCAGTTTCTTCATCTGTAAAACGAGCTGGAGATGGAAAGAGTAAACCACTCCAGTATCTTTGCCAAGAAAACTCCAAATGGGGGGTGGGTGGGTCACAAAGAGTTGGACATGATTGAAAAAAAAATGACCGAATAACAACTGGAATGTAAGTTCACCAAGGATGGTAATTGTGTCTATTTTATATATGTGTCTCCAGTGCCTAGCACTGTCTTGCACATAGTAGGTAATTAATGCTTTCTTATTCATCCATTCATATTCATTTATCACTAGCTATGTAATTCACTGATTTACTTCTACTCAAAGATACATAGGTCAGTGTGGGCATCCCATTCAGGCTGTGCCATTTTTCTTAGACAAGGCAGCAACCTCTCTTAGCTTTTCCCATCATTGTTCAGCTTGTCTGTCCCGCAGGGAGTTGTAAGGCTTCTTAACACCAGGGCACCAGGAATGGTATACGTTTCATTCTCTGAGAAATTCTGCCCTTGGAGCTCTACTTTCCCTCAAACCATCAACATAGATGTCCTGACATATATTCCAAGGTCATGTGGAATGACCCCAAACTCCAAGTCCACCCTACTATTGCTATTTAGGTTGGATTTGTCATGCTCAGTCAGCCAACTAGCATTTATTAAGTGCCTACTATGTGCCAGGCATTGTGCTAAGACCTGGGGATACAAAAATAGGCAAAAAACAAAACAAAACCCACCACAAAACAGTCCCTGCCCTCGAGGAGCTCAAAGTCTAATGTGGGAAACAATATGAAAACAAAACACAAGCTATGTAAAAACAAGATATAATAAGGATAAATTGGAGACAGTGTCCGAGGTAAGGCATTAAGATTAAAGAGAACTGAGAAGGGCTTCTTGTAGAAGATGGGACTTTTAAAAAAAATTGTTATGGTTTTAATGACTGTCATGGCCAAACTATATCTCACAAAGTTATATAGAAGCACATGATTAACTGCACTTACTAAAACAAGATATTAATTTTACATTTCTACTCATCAATTATGCAAAGATTTGTGCTGAAATTTGACTAGTAAATTTCACTCTTCTCCCATGTCAACTAGTTCTTCTTGCAAGTGAGTCTGAAGTTATTGCATTTTTAATAAATGGGTTCAAAATGCACTGAAGCTCTTTGGAAGACTTTTAATTGGCATAGAAAAGTTTGTTTCCAAGTTTAAGTATGCTGAAATAAATTTTTACAGGGTGATATGCTTACATCATCTTCGGCAACAAAGACTTTGTTTTTAATTGTCTTGCTAATTTTATAGTGTCATACTATTATATTAGCTAATATCTGTTCTGAACACAGTAAGTGCTTATTAATAAATGCTTTTTCATCCCCAATATTTAAGTGGTCAAAGGATATCAACAAACATTTCTCAAAATAAGAATTATGAACTATTAACAACCATACAAAAGAATACTCTGGATCACTAGTAATCAGAGAAATGCAAATCAAAACAATCTTGAAGATTTACCTCGCATCTAGCAAATTGGCAAAAATGACAAAGAGGGGAATCTTTTGGGAACCAGACTGGAGGAGTGAGTGGTAGACAGGCATCCTAGTGCATTCTTGGTGGAGCTATGAAACAGTACAACCATTTTGGAAAGCAATTTGGAATTATCCAAATAAAGTGGCTAAAATATCCATACTTTTTGACCCACAGATTCCACTATAAGGCCTATACCCAAAGGAAATATATGGATAAGAAGCATACACACACACACACACACACACACACACACACACACACACACACATTTATAGCAGTACTTCCATTTGGTAATAAAAATTTGGAATGCCCACCAGATAGCTGAAAAAAATTGAGGTACAAGAATGTAAAGGAATATTACTGTGCCATAAGAAATTGTAAACATTATGAATGAGAGGCAGAAAGGAGACAGAAAAATGAACTGATACATTGTAAAGTAAGTAGAGCCAAGAAAGCAATATAAATAATGGCTACAATAACAGAAATGGAAAAAAACAAGCACCACAAAATAACTGAAAGTAAACATTATAAAATTAAGAAAGAACATGCATGGCCCCAAAGAAGAGATATGAGAAGATTCCTTTGAAGAGGCAGAAGTGTTCCACAAGTGTGGAACATTAAATAAATTTTCAGACTTTTTTGATGTAATTGGTTTTGCTGATTTTTCTTTTAAAAAATATATTCTTTATAATGTGGGTTGGGACGGAGGGAAATTTAGATGATGTGAAAAATATCTCAGTAAAATGTTATCTTCAAAAATGCTTTTTTACTCATTTATCTTAAGGTATACTATATACTTAGAAGTTTATTATTAATTTAGAGGATGTAAATCCAAATCTCATATAAGAAGATGGGACTTTTGTTCAAACATGAAGAGAGGTGAGGGGAGAGAGAGTTCCAGGCAGGAGGATCAGCCAGTGAAAATGCCTGGAGGGAGATGGAGTGTCATGGAGGCTAGAGTCACTGACTGGAACAGAGTATGTGGAGGGGTGTAAGGTGTGAACACACTAGAAAGGTATGAATATTAGGGAGTCACTACAATTTGTTGAATGGGGTGATGGGGTTTGATCTTGTCAGACCTGAGTTTTACCAAGATCTCTTGACAGCTGAGTGGAACATGGATTACTTCAGGCAAGGAGAGTAATCGGCAGGCTATTGCAATAGTCCAGGCATGGTAAGGGCCAGCACCAGAAGCATACTACCTTCTTGTCTCTTAGCTCTGTGCAGAGATCACAGAGGACTCACAATAACCCATAAACACATAACACAAACCTCATTCCTCCCCAGTCAACTCCTAAAGCTTTATGCTCTTGGAAACACAGCTGCGGAATGATTCGGATCGCCTAAGGCTGCC